ATCCCCCAAGGTCAGCACTGGTTTTTCCCCTGCCTATATGGGGGGCACTAGCCATGGATTTAATCCCTTGCCAGGCCACCCTTGCGTTTCCTGAGGAGAGGGTCCTCTCCACCCTTTGCTTGTATGCCTCCTTGTCCACCAGTATCTGTCTTTTTATCTCACGTTGTACATCTCTTAAAGCCTGTCTATCTATGCCATGATTAGATGGTGAAAAAACACACCAATCTCTTTCATAATTTAGAGTTCAATGTGTCAAATTGGAGGGCCTGTTGTCTGGACCTCTGGCAGTCTCTATGGGGGGTGCCACAGGGTTCAATTCTCGGGCCGACTCTATTCTCTGCGTATATCATTGATGTCGCTGTTGCTGCTGGTGACGCTTGGATCCACCTCTATGCGGACAACACCATTTTGTATACATCTGGCCCTTCATTGGACACTGTGTTAACAAACCTCCAAACGAGCTTCAACGCCATACAACACTCCTTCCGTAGCCTTCAACTGCTCTTAAACACTAGTAAAACTAAATGCATGCTCTTCAACCGAACGCTGCTTGCACCCGCCCACCCGACTAGAATCACTACTCTCGGCGGGTCTGACCTAGAGTATGTGGACAACTACAAATACCTAGGTGTCTGGTTAGACTGTAAACTCTCCTTCCAGACTCACATTAAGCATCTCCAATCAAAAGTTAGATCTAGAATCAGCTTCCTATTTCACAACAAAGCCTCCTTCACTCATGCTACCTAACATGCCCTCGTAACACACCCCAGTATCTCTATTTGCACATCATCTCTTGCACATCTATCATTCCAGTGTTAATACGAAATTGTGACTATTTTGCACTATGGCCTATTTATTGCCTTACCTCCATAATTTACTACATTCGCACACACTGTATATATATGTTCTGTTGTATTTTTGACTTTATGTTTTGTTTACCCCATATGTAACTCTGTGTTGTTGTTTTTATCGCACTGCTTTGCTTTATCTTGGCCAGGTCGCAGTTGTAAATGAGAACTTGTTCTCAACTGGCTTACCTGGTTAAATAAAGGTGAAATAAATAAAATAAAATACCATATTCTTTAAACAATCAAATCGATATATAGCGTTTTGGAATTAAACTCTCCAATTATTGAAGTACATTATGCTGCATTCGTTTTCTTCATGATATAAATGGGAATTGTATAATCGGCATAGCATAAGGCAAAATTCAATGTACAGTATGGTTATTGGTTATCTTTAATAACACTATACATACACATTGACAAAAACTAAAATACACAAAATAATGCCGTTTCCCTCATAGTTATGATATGTTATGATCCTCATTCTCTAGCTTGAACAACAGAGCGTTCTTTTTGCAGGCACACTGCTGACTTTAGAAACTCAATATGCCTCAAGGAGTCTTTGTCTGCTCTGACACATCAAAAAAAAGGTCCAGAATAAAAGTCAATGATACAACTTGTTCCACATTTTATTGAAGTTCTCTGTCTGTAGCCAGGAGGGCTGTCAAACTGGCGTCAGATGTGTTATGAATTTCTTTCCTGTTAGCCAAAAGTTAATTCCCGTTCTTGTTTGCGGCCATTACCTGTCATTCTCATACCCTGGCAATAAAAAATAGATTTTTACACACTTGTGAATGTCAAATAAACTCAGTCGCTGTTACAGCTTTTCTAAGAGACCAAAAATCTATCTTTACAAAAATAGGAGTGGTGGGTCAAAGCTGTTTTAAGTTTATTCTTTGGGCAAACAATCTTAAGGCATGATAAATTCAAAATAATGTTTTATTATACGACTTAACTCTCAATCCAGTGGGATTTGGAGAGTGTGTGCATGGAGAGAGCTGCTGTTTTGTTATTTGAGTGTCTTTACATTTCAACTTGATCTTTGCTGAGAGATTTATCTGAAAGGGTAGAGTCAGGGTGTGGAGCTGCTTGATATATACGAGGCACGATATCTAGTAACGTCTGGCTTCATAAATGATCATGACAGTGGTCCAGAGTTATACATGGAGAGTATAATGTTTCATGCATAATCTAATCATTAGATATTCTTAGTTATTGGCATTTCCAATGACTTGTGGCTGTGGGTTAACACTTGTCCTATCTACTCTCCCTGTCCCCCTCCTCCCCTCACTATTTTCTCTCGATGGAAAACCTTTACCCTGGAATTGTGTTTCCAAGTGTTATACTTCTCAGCTGAGGTAGTCGACTCTAAATTCATTTCAATTTTCCCCTTAATTGTTTTTCCTTTGACTTTGAACTCATTAAACCATTGGAGGATACAGGGTCCAGTTACCTCAGCTCTGAGGATCATGGGAAGCATATGGCTCCCATTAAAGCCTTGTTACGCCACAGATCTCCATTTCGTACCTTCCCCCTCTGAGACGCAGGAATCGGTGTCTGCCCTGGAAGGGTTCTGATTGAGGACCCCACTGTGGCTGGAAACGCTGCTAACTAACCTAACCACCGCTGTGTTGTCCGATCCAAAAGGGCTTCTCCTTGAACCCGCCTCCTGTCCTGTGTCAATCCCGGAAGTAGAAACTGTCCGTATGTCACGCTTTGAGAATTAGCTCTGGCTGCTCAGGAATCCCAGTTGGGATAATAGATCCCTCAGTTAGCTAAGAGAGACAGAAGAGAATAGACACCATCCTTCCATGTTTATCTCATATTACCAGTGTTTTACCACTGTCCTTCGTACTACTATTGGACTGTGATTGTGAAAGAAAGTTTGCAGTACCACTTTTAGTAATATGTAATTATCTTTTTGTCTGACAGGGGACGTGTTCATCCAGCCAACTCAAGACACAAAGAATCCTGTCATCTACGGAGTGTTCTCAGTGTCAGGGTGAGTCACTGATTGACTACGTTCTTTTGTCCACCTTAGTTCAATCACATCATTACCACAAGTATCTGTCTCATTGAAGAACAATACAGCCCCTTTCAGATTTCACTCAATCAGATCTCCTCAGCAGACCTGTAGAAAATATGTAGTCAGTGGTGCAGATTTTTGGTTTCCTCCCGTGGTTTCCCGTCTCCCATCCATATTCATTGTGGCCAAAGGCACCTGTGTAACACGCTCTATTATTGAAACAGCCTATTCTGCACAGTCTGCTCTGCACACTGCAAAGGCAGAGGAGGAAGTCAGTCCGTAGCACAGAGGGGAAGGACTCTAGTGAGAGACTTAACCTGTGTTCCCACATGGCTGGGCTTTAATAACAAGCCATCAGTCAGCACAGCATTAGGATTCAAGGAAACGGCTCGCGGCTCCTGCCCTCACATATGCAACGGGAGATTTTGTGTGGAGGATACACACACGGAGAGTTGGCTCTCACACTCACACGCCCAGTCATAATAAACACGGCTCTATGTGTGTCTGTGAGAGAAGTACTCTGTAATTGCCTCCATACTAACTCGCCACAGTCACCATCCCCCTTGAAGCCCAGTTGATTAGAACTATTGTAGTGCTAATGATAGGCCCCTCGACAGAAGGTACTAATATAGTAATATACTGTGCACCCAGCACACCCACCACACCCAGCACACCCAGCACACCCCAGCACACCCAGCACACCCACCACACCCACCACACAGCACCCAGCACACCCACCAACCCACCACACCCAGACACCCCACCACACCCACACACCCAGCACACCCAGCACACACCAGCATCACCCACCACACCCACAACCACACAAACAACAACCAGCGCACACCCAGCACACCCACCACACCAACCACACCAAGCAAACCCAGCCACACCCCAGCACACCCCGCACACCACACCACACCCGGCACACCCAGCACACCAACAACACCCACCACACCCAACACACCAGCACACACCACACCCAGCACACCCAGAACACCAGCACACCCAGCACACCCCACACACCACACCCCAGCACACCAGCACACCCCACACAACCAGCACACCCAGCACACCCCACCCACCACACACCACACACACCAACACAACCAAAAACAAACACAACCAGCACACACCAGCACCCACCCACCACACCCACCCACCACACCACACACCACACACACCACCACACCCCAACACCAGCACACCACACCACACACCCACACACCACCACACCACACACCCAACACCCAGCCAACCACACCACACCCACACACCACACCACAACCACACACCACACACACCACACCCACACACCCACACACCAGCACACCCCACCACACCCACACCACAGCACACCACCCACACCCACACCCCAGCACACCCACACCACACACACCACACACCCACCACACCACACCCCACCCACACCACACCCCACCACACCCACCACACCCCACACCACCAACACCCCACCACACCCAGCACACCAGCACACCCACAAACACACCCAGCACACACCCAACACACACCACACACCACACACCCAGCACAACCACACCACACCACAACACCACACCAACACAAACACAACAAAACCAACACACCAGCCACACAAAAAAAAAACAACAAAACAAACCAAAAACAAAACAACACCACACACCCACAAACAACAAACACCACACAACACAACACACAACACACACCACAACACACAACAAAACAACCAAAAAACCACACCACACCCAACAAACACACCACACCACACACACCAACACACACCAACCACACCCCACCACACCACCACACCCACACACCCACCCCAACCACACCACACACACCCACAAAACCCACACCACACCCACCACAGCACACCCCACCACACCCACACCCACACACCACACCCCACACACCCCGCCACACCACACCACACACCACCACACCACACCACAGCACAACACACCACATAGCCTTATGTCTATGAGAGAATATGTGATGTGAGGGAGAAAGTAGCTAATTTCTCAGAGAGTGAGTAGTAATCCCATGTCTCCTAAAGCTGAGCCTCCTCATCCCTCTCCCTCTACCCTCCAGGTCCTGTGTTTAAGGGCTCTGCAGTGTGTGTCTACTCCATGGCTGACATCCGCCAGGTCTTCAATGGACCCTATGCTCACAAGGAGGGGCCCAACTACCAGTGGATGGCCTACACTGGGAAGATCCCCTACCCTCGGCCTGGGACGGTGAGTGACGTGCAGAGGGTGACACACACACATATTAATAAATTAAAGAAATGAACACATTTAACATGGCTGGTTCTGCTCTCTTTCTAAATCCAGTGTCCCGGAGGTACGTTCACCCCCAACATGAAGTCCACTAAGGATTACCCAGACGAGGTGATTAACTTCATGCGGAACCACCCCACCATGTACAACACTGTGTATCCAATACACAAGCGCCCCCTGGTGGTCCGAAACAACGTGGACTATGAGTTTACCACCATCACTGTGGACCAGGTGGCTGCTGCCGATGGGAGCTATGAGGTCCTATTCCTGGGGACAGGTCAGTGCTCTGAGTCCCTGCCTGCTGATTGATTTGATAGTCTTGTTAATGTAAGTGTGTGTTCACAACTGTGATAGATTCAGATATAAACAAAATCTATAATCTGGGGAAACTATTTTGTTAGAATTTTGTTCAAAGTGCTTGTCTTCTCAAAGACGAGAGAACTTAGCCTACAGTACTATTTTTATGGAAAGGGGGGAGTTACTGTAATTTGTTTGAATGTACGTTAATACTACCCTGGTGATCGTCTGGCAGTACTTCACACAGCCTCTCCCTATGGATCAGAGGGTTGGAGCTGGAAGTTCCTATGGCTGCTGACTCAGCCTGGTTCAGCCTGGTTCCTATAGACCACTGTACAAGACCAGGGGGGATCCTCCTATCCTCCTATTCCCCTATCCTCCTCAGGACATTTGAGTAGAGTAGAACCTGATCACTCCTCTGAGTCTGGAGTAGGGTAGAGGTTAACCTGATTACTCCTCTGGGTCTGGTCTGGAGTAGAGGTTAACCTGATCACTCCTCTGGGTCTGGTCTGGAGTAGAGGTTAACCTGATCACTCCTCTGGGTCTGGTCTGGAGTAGAGGTTAACCTGATCACTCCTCTGGGTCGGTCTGATAGAGTAACCTGATTCTCCTCTGTCTGGTCGAGTAGGGTTAACCTGATCACTCCTCGGCTGGTCTGGAGTAGGGTTAACCTGATCACTCCTCTGGGTCTGGTCTGGAGTAGAGGTTAACCTGATCACTCCTCTGGGTCTGGTCTGGAGTAGAGGTTAACCTGATCACTCCTCTGGGTCTGCAGACAGGGGGACGGTTCAGAAGGTAATTGTCCTGCCCAGAGATGACCTGCAGACTGAGGATCTGGTGCTAGAGGAAGTGGAGGTGTTCAGGGTGAGTCTCTCTTTCTCTCTTCTCCTGTTCTTCCTCTCTCTCTCTCTCTCCTTCTTTCCTCTCCCTCTACCATTCCCTCTCTTTCTCTTTCGTGTTCTCTCTCTCTCCTTCCTTTTCCTCTCCCTTTCCCTCTCTTTCTCTTTCGTGTTCTCTCTCTCTCCTTCCTTTTCCCCCCTCTCTCTCTTTCTCTCTCTCAGTAGTATCTTTCAATTTTTTGTCTACCCATTCCTCATGTAAGAAACATTTATTCTGTAGAACATCTTTCCAACTTTTATTATTCTCTTAATAAGATCTATCCCTTACATTTCAGGTGCCAACTCCCATAACCACCATGAAGATTTCCTCCAAAAGGGTAAGTTGAACATTCCACGGTCTGATGGTTCAGTGCACACACGTTCAGAATTGTCTTCCTATAAAATATCACATAAATCACTGCAGAGCGTAAACCGTGAATGCCAAAGTCTGGATGATGCTGACATTTTCCAATTGGTCTCTCCCTCTCTTCCTCCCTACAGCAACAGTTGTACGTGGGCTCAGTGTTGGGTGTGACCCATCTGGCCCTCCATCGCTGTGACGTGTACGGAGAGGTTTGTGCTGACTGCTGCCTGGCCCGGGACCCGTACTGCGCCTGGGACGGAAAGTCCTGTACCCGCTACTCTGCCTCGCAGAAGAGGTGAGTACCAAGAGAGCGTGTGTGCATTTTTGTGTGTGTGTTGCTCAGGTATGGGGGCAAGAACCTTTGCCAAATGCCAATACAATGTTCTCTCAACATTGTCTCTACTCTTTAATTATATTTTGACATTTACTGCAGACTTGCAGTTTGTAGAACATTTTGTAGTTAACCTCTTTATTTTGGGGAATGTTGATCTGACCCCTCTAGGCGCAGCCGCCGACAGGATGTAAAGTATGGTAACCCAATCCGCCAGTGCAGAGGCTATAACTCTAACGGTGAGCTGACAAGAACACTCTAACGTACCCAAAATAGACACTCTAACAGTACTGAGGTTACCTTTCAGTGTGACAGCAGCAGTATCCAATAACATCACACGTGTATCATATTGTGAAAGGGGAATGTGATTTTGACACAGGACATGATTTTGTCAATTCTACTACTGTGCTACTTCACTAACTGTTGAGCAGTAATTGACTGATTTGGTCTGAGAAATTATGCCTCAAACACATGCATGTAATGTCATGATGCTTATTATTTGCTGCAGCCAATAAGAACACACTGGAGATGGTGCAGTATGGGGTGGAGGGCAGCACTACGTTCCTGGAGTGTCAGGCTAGGTCCCCTCATGTCTCTCTCAAATGGCACCTGCAGAGGGAGAACAGCGACAGGAGGAAAGAGGTGAGTCAGGAACTCTCATCCCACTGTAGCTGTACTGTACTCTACTGTATTGAGTCTTATACAGCCTGCTTTCTAAACAGGCTGATAATCAGAGGAATGACTACTTTATTATTTAACAATATGGCCTGCTGTTTGTGGAAAATGATTGCTAAATGAGTGCAATGATAAATGAATGACATCTCCCTGCTGTCAGATCCGCTCTGAGGGCCGGACACTGAAGACAGAGCAGGGTCTACTGCTGCGTTCCCTCCAGTCATCAGACAGCGGTGTCTACCAGTGCACGTCCACAGAGAAGAAACTTCAAACACACGCTGGTCAAGCTGCAGCTGGTGGTCCTGTCCAGCCGCACGGTCAACAGCATCCTGGTAGAGACAGGCAGCCCGGCCCTGCCACCCCTCCAGTCCAGCCCATGGACCCCCAGCGCGGGTCAGTACAAGGACCTGCTGACCATCCTGAGCCAGCCGGAGATGGGCCTGATCAACCAGTACTGTCAGGACTACTGGCAGCTGGGAGAGGGCAGTCCGGGGGACCCCATGCTGGCCGTCGGTAAGGCCAAGGAACTGAAGGAGCTGAAAGAGCAGAAGAAGCCCCGCAACCGCCGGCATCATGACGATGAGGATGATCACACCACCGCAGCCGAGACATGAGGCCGTAGGTTTATACCACTGGCCACACACTACCCCTTATACCCAGACACCCAACCCCCTGTCCCATCCGCTCTCTCCCACTCTGCACAACCCTCCAAAAATGGGAAAGACTTCAATCAAAGGATTAAAAAATGTAATGATCAAAAGCGACAACAAAGAGAAACCACTACAAATAGCAACAGCAAGCAACAAACAGATTCTTCTTAACTGTTAAAAAAGATACACAGTATTTATTGTAGGTTGTACATAGTAAGATTCTGTGGAATTCTTTGTACTTAAATAGAAAACAAAGCTTTTTTTTGTGCAAATCTGTGCAAATATGATTGTTATTATAATGATATTAATGTTGTTAGTGTTATTGTTTATTACAAATGGTGTTATTAGATTGCAAATATCTTTATGTTCTGTCTTTTGGATGAAGCGCAGCAACACATTGAAAGGACGTTTGAAAGTGTAAATATCTCCAGCTGAATAGACTGATAAGAATGCCTTCAAAAAGGTTTCACTGCTGGCAGTATGTAGTCTGAGGTGGGAGGAGTCAGATCACTGATGGACTGATGAACCTCCCCCAAAGCCATGATGGACAGTTGATTCCCACAGCCAATGAACTATAAGGATGACACTTCAAGGCATTTCATTGGACAAGCAGAGAGATGAGGAAATGCCCATAGGAGACTGCAGCTTTGAGTTTGTCCCACGGCCACAGACAGACACGAGAGTGAAAGGCCTTGTGGGAAATGACGCCCTCCTCTTCCTTAGCCAGCCTAACTGACCCTGGGGTGAAACAAGACTTAACCCCAAATCCCATCAAATATTTTCTTCTCTTCCAGAAGCTGATGAGGGATGCCTGTGTCTTCTTGGGCCATGTGGTCCAATCTGGCTTTCTTTCAACCCCATGTGTTATATTTACATTGATATTCCCAGTCGCTTCCAGAACTAGTTGCTGTGGGCTTTTTGTGTGTAGAGTATATGTCAATATGACATCTCAATGTTGTACCCTTGAGGCTGTGATGGTTAAAATAAGCGGGTTTTGGGATGGGATTGAAATAACATTGACTTCCCTTTGTACACCATTGTTCAACTGAGACTAGAATTTCAAGCAGGCAGCTACATCATTTGTGACAATTTGATTATGCACAATTACGACAAGAGACAGAGAAATCTCTTTGACTTCTTTTTGAAGTTGGTCACATTCTCTTAGTCTCCAAACTAATCTATAAGTATACTGGTTTGCATTCCAGCCTATTCCTATTCTACTTATGAGGTCAGTTGTTTCATATGAAATGTGCTGAAAATTTCTAAACTCCTCCAATCCTCCCATGTAATTTCCAATATCACAGCTCTCCTAGTAATATACCCTTAGTCCACATTGTTTTACGTCAGATAGCGCAACAATTCCGCCTGCACTGATTGGCGGTTGAGGGATGAGCGTCGCGTAGGCGTGATGCCACCTGAATGTAAGACAATGGTTAGTCCATGGAAGTCACTAAAGGGAAAGTGCATAAAGACTGTTTTCAAAGTTCTAGTTTAATAGGTTGTAGCGGGATACCATAGGTTTCTCAGAGCTGTTGTCCAGTTCCTACAGAAGGTAAATGTTACACCACTCTCACTAAAGACTTGATTCAACTTCTCTGATCAGCCGTTGTTGATGGTATTCTGCCTGGAAAGGTGTCATAATCCACAGATGTGTATAGCAGAAAGACTCTGTCTCCATGTACAACTCTATGTATATAGCTACTGCTACTAGAATGATCTGCTCTTGACCACAGGGAAACACATACCAAACTCTTTGGGACGGTGGCTTTTCATTGTGTGCATGAAATGTATTATGTACTGTATATGATATTAGTCCAAAAAGCTATGCTGTGGATGTCAGTGGATGTCTCTCTTGTTGTGGGAATAATGTCAGTGGATGGAAAGGCGGATGGGCTCAAACCCTAGTGGTGGAAAACTCAACACACAGAGTTATAGACCCCTTTCTCTCCTTCTCTTCTCTATTTCCCGCTCTCTTTACCGCTCTCTTTCTCTCCTTCTCTTCCTTTCTCTCTCCCTCTCTCTGTATTTCTCAAAAATATTTCAAATATATGCATCTTTGGCAAATTTCTGATATGGGTTAATGAGGAAAAATCACTTAGTATGACATAAAGCACAGTTGATGTTATTGTAATGACTTGACTATTTCTCCTTTCTCATTGATGTTGCTGACTAATAAATTAAAGCTCTATATTTTATAAAAACAGAAATCCTTTTTATATTCATATGGTGCATGGATAACTATACTGAACAAAAATATTAACGCAACATGCAACAATTTCAAAGATTTTACTGAGTTACAGTTCATATAAGGAAATCAGTCAATTGAAATAAATAAATTAGGCCCTAATCTATGGATTTCACATGACCGGGAATACAGATATATGCATCTGTTGGTCACAGATACATACCGTGCATTCAAATTACCATAGATAAAATGCAATTGTTTCGTTGTCCGTAGCTTATGCCTGCCCATACCATAACCCCACTGCCACCATGGGGTACTCTCTTCACAACATTGACATCAGCAAACCGCTCGCCCACACGACGCCATACACGTGGTCTGCGGTTGTGAGGCCAGTTGGACGTACTGCAAAATTCTCTAAAATGACGTTGGAGGCGGCTTACGGCAGCGAAATTAACATTCAATTCACTGGTAACAGCTCTGGTGGACATTCCTGCAGTCAGCATGACAATTGCACACTCCCTAACCTAACTTGAGACATCCATTTTAGAATGGCCTTTTATTGTTCCCATCACAAGGTGCACCTGCGTAATGATCATGCTGTTTAATCAGCTTCTTGATATGCCACAGCTGCCAGGTGGATGGATTATCTTGGCAAAAGAGAAATGCTCACTAACAGGGATGTAAACAAATGTGCACAACAGTTGAGAGAAATAAACTTTTGTGCGTACGGAACATTTCTGGGATCTTTTATTTCAGCTCATGAAACATGGGACCAACACTTTACATGTTGCGTTTATATTTTTGTTCAGTGTATATACAGTACAGTAAGGTCACAGAGACAGGTTTTGGGTCTCGTGCACTGGCCTCAACCCTTTAATGTGTCAACTGATCCTAATTTGTTTGTGCTTTGACAGTAGTGGTTCTTACAATTTATGAAAGCTGAGCGATGGAGTTGTCCTCCTTCCATCTCTCAGAGGACACACTGTGGATTAGGTTTCATTGCCATTTTCAGATTGAGGTCAATGAGATCTGTGAGGTGAGACTAAAGCCCTGTACGAGTATACAGTATCCCCAGTGTGTTCCACAAGTGTGAGCTGAGTAATGTATTTTGCAGTCTGTGTAGTCTTTTTTATTATAAGGTGACGTCAGCTTTGTCATGAGAGGCACACTTCAAATAGAGTGAGTCTCTAAGAGTAGGACAGTGAAGTCCACCGCAGTAACTACCTCTGCCCTGCTGTAGACCAGACTGGTGTTCTGTAGAACGATGGGAGCTATAGGTGAGCTTCTCATAAACAAGCGATAACATGCATCATTTAACATGCCACACTGATCAACTGTACACCTTGTTTCCTCTTTGTGTTAGAGCTCTCATCCCCAACCTCTTTCTACCTCACTTACTTACTGAGGCCTTTTACTCCTCATGGAACATACCTCCCCACACCCTTATCAAGGCAGCTGAGGCCAGATAAGTATTTGAGCCGGTGTGCATCTTCCGCTGAGCACAGCAAAGTCCTCCTAAACCTAAAAAAGGTTAGGTCACTCATACGCCCATGTACCCCTGCATCTCGCTCCCCCTGCCCCAGGAGTCTTCTGTCCTTGTGCCCTATTGGCCATCCCTGATCAGGTGAACAGAGGATGCCTAAAATCTTCTCTGACTTGAAAACACTCCATAATTCGCCTCTCCGGTGTTCGTGAAAAGCAGTTGACGTGCCAGCTGCGTAGTTGGCGGCACCAGTCGGCCCTCTAGGCGTTCCGCTAGGACGGTTTTCCCCGTTCATTTGGTTTTGAGCACTACAGGGCTGAAACCGGGGTGTGAGCATGGGGGCCGGAGCGAGCGCAGAGGATAAGCACTGCAAAGAACTGGAGAAGAAACTCAAGGAGGACACAGAGAAGGATGCCAGGACAGTCAAGCTGCTGCTTCTGGGTAATGTCTGCATGTCTGGTCCTCTGGCCCTCTGGTCCTCTGGCCCTCTGGCCTCTGCTCTGGGGAAGGCCTGGTTGGAGGGTGTTCTATGGGGTGTCTCATCATAACCTGGGATCCAGACTATACACTAAATGAGTCATAGGCTCTAAGGCCCTATATGACTGTCCAGTGATTGGCTTGAGTCTTATCTGGTCAAAGGTCTGCTGCTCGGGATGGCTTTCATGGTATGTCATAGAAACGTGAAAAGGTTTCTTTGTGAAAAGCAACCTTTTGACCCTAAGTGTGTAATCCCATGTTTATATTGCTGAGTAGACTCTACTACACTCTTAGAAAAAATCCAGCTTTTTGGTTCCAGATAGAACTCTTTTGGGTTCCATGTAGAACCCTCTGTGGAAAGGATTCTACCTGGAACCAAACGGGTTCTACCTGGAACCTAAAAGCGTTCTTCAAAGGGTTCTCCTATGGGGACAGCCCGAAGAACCCTTTTAGGTTCTGGATAGTACCTTTTTTTCTAAGAGTGTAGGGATGGGGATAGAGATTGTTTTGTTCTCTATCGTTTAGCTTTGAGAGAGATGTGAAGATCATGTCCATAGTAGTCTCCTGTGGTGTTGAATAATACAGGTGTGTAGACAGAAACGACGATATCTTGTCTCTTCGTATTATATTGTTAATCACGCAGTTACACTTCCAATGGTCTGAGCCCTAAATCAAATGGGATTATAATTGAGACTTTACCAGCCTTGCAAACTCTATATTAATTGAAGAGATAATTACGCTCATTATTTTGTCATTATTTGGGATCAATCAAGGTAAATGTCAAAGCTAATAGGATTACTATGCCAATACATTTACCCT